CGATACATGTCGACGTGCACACCACTAAATGCGCGTGCAGATGTGTAGAAGTGTGCAGATGTGTAGAAGTGTACAGATGTGTATACGTGTACACACGCGCACAGCACTACACGTGTGTAGATCTAAACATGCACAGCACTGCACAAGTATGCAGATCTAAACACACGTTTGCAGATCTAAACACACGTGCACATTACACACGTGTGCAGCACTCTATACACAGAGCGATGCACCCGTGTGCTGACCCAAACACACGTGCACATGACATACATGTACAGATCTAAAACACTCACACTCACTCGTGTGCAGCTCTAAACACACGCACAGCACTGCACCCGAGTGCAGATCTATAGACAGCAGCACTGCACACACGTGTGCAGGTCTACACGCGTGTGCAGATCTACACACGTGTGCAGATCTAGGCACACACGCACATGACACGCGTGTGCAGATCTACACGCCAAAACACGCGTGCAGGTCTACACACGTGTGCACTTCTTCTTGGTTCTTTCGGTAAAGTCACGTAGAATGGAAATAATAAAAGAAAAAAAGAAAACATAATAAAATAATTCTCACGACGTTTCGGCCACAACGCAAGCAGCCGTCCTCAGGTCTACACGCGTGTGCAGGTCTACACGCGTGTTCACGGCTGCGTGTTTAACGCAGGTGCGTGGCGCTGCACTGACGATACACTCCGATCCCCGCAGCGGGGAGGGTCTCACTGAGACTCCGTGAGGCTCAGAGCAGCTCAGCGAGGCTCTGGATTCAGTGGAAACACAAACGCGGCCTGGTGAGCCTCACCGTGGCTCTGGTGTGTGGTGTGTGGTGATGTGGGGCCTGGTATAATGTGTTGTGGTGCATGGTGCCGTGGTGTATGGTGTTGTAGTGTGAGTAGTGGTGTGGTGTGGAGTGTGCGATGCACAGTGTGATGTGTAGCGTACGGTAATGTAGGGTGCTGTGTGTGTGTGTGTAGTCTATGGTGGGTGGTGTGCTGTGTGTGTGTGTAGTCTATGGTGGGTGGTGTGCTGTGTGTGTGTGTAGTCTATGGTGGGTGGTGTGCTGTGTGTGTGTGTAGTCTATGGTGGGTTGTGTGCTGTGTGTGTGTGTAGTCTATGGTGGGTGATGTGCTGTGTGTGTTTGTAGTCTATGGTGGGTGGTGTGTTGTGTGTGTGTGTAGTCTATGGTGGGTGGTGTGCTGTGTGTGTGTGTGGAGTCTATGGTGGGTGGTGGGCTGTGTGTGTGTGTAGTCTGTGGTGGGTGGTGTGCTGTGTGTGTGTGTAATCTGTGGTGGGTGGTGTGCTGTGTGTGTGTAGTCTATGGTGGGTGGTGTGCTGTGTGTGTGTGTAGTCTATGGTGGGTGGTGTGCTGTGTGTGTGTATCGTCTATGGTGAGTGGTGTGCTGTGTGTGTGTAGTCTATGGTGGGTGGTGTGCTGTGTGTGTAGTCTATGGTGGGTGGTGTGGTGTGTGTGTGTGTAGTCTATGGTGGGTGGTGTGCTGTGTGTGTGTAGTCTATGGTGGGTGGTGTGCTGTGTGTGTGTAGTCTGTGGTGGGTGGTGTGCTGTGTGTTGTGTGTGTAGTCTATGGTGGGTGGTGTGCTGTGTGTGTGTGTAGTCTATGGTGGGTGGTGTGCTGTGTGTGTGTAGTCTATGGTGGGTGGTGTGCTGTGTGTGTGTAGGTCTATGGTGGGTTGGTGTGCTATGTGTGTGTGTAGTCGTGTGTGTAGTCTATGGTGGGTGGTGTGCTGTGTGTGTGTAGTCTATGGGGGGTGGTGTGCTGTGTGTGTGTGTAGTCTATGGTGGGTGGTGTGCTGTGTGTGTGTGTAGTCTGTGGTGGGTGGTGTGCTGTGTGTGTAGTCTGTGGTGGGTGGTGTGCTGTGTGTGTGTGTAGTCTATGGTGGGTGGTGTGCTGTGTGTGTGTGTAATCTATGGTGGGTGGTGTGCTGTGTGTGTGTGTGTGTAATCTATGGTGGGTGGTGTGCTGTGTGTGTGTGTAATCTATGGTGGGTGGTGTGCTGTGTGTGTAGTCTATGGTGGGTGGTGTGCTGTGTGTGTAGTCTGTGGTGGGACGTGGTTGGTGTGCTGTGTGTGTGTAGTCTATGGTGGTGTGCTGTGTGTGTGTGTATAGTCTGTGGTGGGTAGTGTGCTGTGTGTGTGATGCAGTGTACGTGGTGGTTAAGCACACCGCACAACGAACCCGGCGACCAGAGTTAAATTCATGCTCACGAACAATATCAGCGACGAATACCCGAACCGGTCCTGGGTGCGTAAAACATTGCCACTGGGGAGACAAAGGCGGTCGGGTGTGATGCTGGCCACCCACCAACCTCGCATGCTGTGCCAGGCCTTCATAGTTGCTGCTGCCCGCTAACAAGGCAATTGCACCAACGATCTGTTCATCTGATCTTTGTATTTGCTGTGTAGTGTGAATTGTGCAGTGTACATTGTGCAGTGTGTGCATAACGGCGTGGCGTGTATCGTACCTGGAGTGTGTCTACCACCGTATGCACTGGTGCTGTGTACCATGTGGACACTGTATGTGCTGTGTGTATACTCTATCCTGTGTGTATGTGCTTTGTGTGAACACGGCGTGTGCTTTGTGTATGTGTGTACTCTATCCGACGGGTATGATGTGTGTACTGTTCTACGTATGCGGTGTGTGTGCTCTGTCCTGAGTATGCGGTGTGTGTGCTCTGTCCTGAGTATGCTGTGTGTGTGTGGGCTCCGTGCTGTGTACACGACTTGTAACTCCTTCGGCTCCGGTACCTTGCTACGGACGAGTCGCTGGACCCCCTCTCCTCCTCTTCCTCCTCGTCGTACCCACGCGGCGCAGCTGATCAAAGTGCCCCCCCTGCCCAGCGTGGCGCGGCCGCGGGCGAACGGGCGAGCAAGCGCGACTTTTTTGTATAGTTTTAGTTTTACCACGGAGCCGACCTACAGCGGTCACCCGATTCGGACGGTACTGTGGGCCCCGCTCTGCACGCGGCCGCAGCGCCAATAAATAATAATAATGATGATGATTGTAGCGGTCTCACAGGGACCACAGTCCGGCGCCATGCCAGCCGGTGAGTGAGTGGGAGGGGAGCCGGAGGAGGAGGTTGGTGGTTGTGGTGGTGGTTATGGATGTGGTGGTGGTGGTGGAGGAAGAAGAGGGGGACGAGCCGTGTCTACGGTGAGAGCGGTGAGGATGAGAGGTGTACGGCCACCCCCTCTCCACCACGGGGAATCCCTCTGGGACCCCCCATCCCCGATATACACACACTGCCCCCTCTCTCTCCAGCCACTTCGCAACTTTATCACCCATCCCCCCCCCCCATGTCTCTTAACCCCCAAACACACGCACACGCGCGCGTGCGTATAATTTAATACGCGCGCACGCACGTGTCTAAGTCACACACAGATATAAACAAAGACAAAGGTTCCCCGTGTAGCCTTAACAGACTGATGGGGGGGGGGGGTGTTAGCGAGTAGTAGCAGCACCTTCGACTCAAGAGGGCTATACCTAATAAATTAAATTTGAATAATGAAGGTCGGCACGGCACACGAAGGCGGGTCGGTGATCAGCACCACGTCTCGACCGCCTTTGTCTCCCGAATAGTGGTGATGGTTTTTACGCCACCGCACCAGGTACTCATTTCAGGTTTGAGTCGCACATACACACACACACACTGTAACATACACACACTATAACATACACAACACGTTCAGACGTCAACGAGGCAATGATGTTGACGCCCGTAATGTGGCCTTAGAAGACTGTTGGGAACGCGTGGATCTTCTCGAGCACCTGCGAAGGCCGGAACAGAGGAGGGTGATTTGGCCAGAATCGAATTTGTCTCAACAGTCCCGATGTTCACACACCGCACCAGGCACCCGTTTAAGGCTGGGTCCACCTAAGATGATGTCCATGAACGGTTGAGATATCCACAACCGATGTTAGCCACGAAGGGAAATCGAAACCCATACGACACGGAGTTAGGACACACGCACACACTAACACCTGCCCTGCCACTCTTCACTAGATACACAAACTCATCACCGCTCAGCTCACAGCTCTCATCTCCAGCCTGAGACCTCATATTCCAACAACACCGACCTACAGTCTCAACCACCACCTGGATCCATCACCACAACCATCACTGGCACTATTACCACCATCACCATATAGCGCTGTCAATTACATTATCACGACCATCACTACCACCGTCAACAACATCACCGGGACTATCGCTACCACATCACTACATGTCACTGTCACCACCAACACCACCACCGCCACAATTTCTAGCACCGTAACAAAGAGCAAATCATCCATCGCCAGCATCATTACCAACTTGATCATCGCTATCACGCCCATTACCAGCACTGCCACTCCAAGTGCTCCACCATCCTCCCACCTATGTGACCCGTGCCACACCCCCTATGTGACCCGTGCCAACCCCCCACCTATGTGACCCGTGCCAAACCCCCTCCCCACCTATGTGACCCGTGCCACCCCCCCCACCTATGTGACCCGTGCCAACCCCCCACCTATGTGACCCGTGCCAACCCTCCCACCTATGTGACCCGTGTCACCCCCCCTATGTGACCCGTGCCACCCCCTTCCCACCTATGTGACCCGTGCCATCCCTCACACCTATGTGACCCGTGCCATCCCTCCCACCTATATGACCCGTGCCACCCCCCCTCCCCACCTATGTGACCCGTGCCACCCCCCCTTCCCACCTATGTGCCCCCCCCCCCCCCACCTATGTGACCCGTGCCACCGCCATTCCAAATTTAGCACCAAAACCCCAAAGGCAGCCAAACAACATTCTCTGTCCGTAGCCCATCTCACGGCCTCAGCTGCCCGGCACCACCACCACTACCAACCATCACCAACCACCACCAACCATCACCAACCACCAACCACCACCACCACAAACCACCAACAACCACCAACCACCAACAACCACCAACCACCACCAACCACCAACCACCACCGGGTTCACGGCAGGACTCACCACAGCTGGCGTCTCAGCGCTGACGTCAGCCCGCGCACACCACGCTCTTCCCCTCCTGCTGCTGTTGATGATGATGGAGGAGATGGTGGTGGTGTCTCTGTCGAGGCTCCCGGTCCCCCTCCTCTTCCTCCTCCTCCTCCTCGTCGCTGCTGCCGCCGCCGCCGCCGCTGCCCCTGCTGCTGCCCCTGCTGTTGTTGCCGATGCCCGCGGCCCCACGGCCCGTCCAGGTGGTGGCCCCCGCGCCTTGGAGCCGCTTCCTCCTCCGTCTCCGCCGCCGCCTCGCTCCGTGCGCCGCGTCTGCGCTCGTCCGCAGCGCCACTCGCATTTAAGCGCGGAGCCACGGAGCGGCAGCGGCGGCAGCGGCGACGTCCGCCGCGCATTGCCCGACTCCCACCCCGCGGCTCTCGAGCGCGGCTCCGCGCGGCTCCCTTTCGCTCGGCACCGCGGCTCGAACCCCGCTTGTGCTGGTCCGCCGCTTGCACCGATCGGCACCACGCGCGCTTGGCACCACGGCTCTCTTGCTGCACCACGGCTCACCCACACGCTCGGCACCACGGCTCTCTTGTTCGGCACCGCGGCTCAATCACACGCTTGGCACCACGGCTCTCTTGCTCGACACCGCGGCTCACCCACACGCTCGGCACCACGGCTCGCAACTCGCTCCAAGCAGCTTCGGAACAGGACCCCCCCCCCCCCCGAAGTGGCGCTCGCTCACCACTCACCCCACGCGCGCGCGCGGCAGCGAGAGGAGCGCGCAAAGGGGGAGCGCTCTCTCGCTCTCTCCCCTTCTCCCCCCTCTCTCTTCTCGCGTCTCCTCTGCACCTCCCCCCCCTCTTCTCGTCGTGCCGTCCCCGCTCTGCGTCGCCACCACCGCCGCCGCCGACGATACTCGCTGTGTGCCCGCGTGGATGATGATGGGGGGGGGGGGGGTGAGCGCGGCGTACGGCGCGCAAAGAGCGAGACCTCCTCCTCCGCGTTGTCGTTGTTTTTGTTGTTGGTTGGAGAGAGAGAGGGGGGGGATGGCGCACACAGCCTCCCCGTGGAATCCCCGCCGCCGCTGCCGCCGCTGCCGCCGCCGCTGCTGCTGCTGCTACTCCTCAGTGGAGCTGTGGCATAGCGCGGCGCTACCTGCTGCTGCTGCTGATGGTGCTGATGATGGTGCTGATGATGGTGCTGCTTCCTCGCGGATACCTGCTCGCAGCCCCGTCCTCCATTTTCTCTCTCGCCAGTGCGGGCAGAGCGGCGGGCGTCGCGGGGGGCGGACGGGGAGGCTCGAGGATGGGGATGGGGGGGTGCGAGCTGGAGGAGGAGGAGGCGGCTGCGAGGGTTGTGTGTGGCAGGGAGGGGAGGAGGGATGGAGGAGGGTGGGAGGGAGGGAGGGAGGGCGCGCGCGTGTGTGTGTGTGCTGGAGGTGGTGGAGAGGAGGGGGGAGGAGAGAGCGGAGGGGATGGGTTGGGTGAGAGAGGCAAGGAGGGAGGGGAGGGGAGGAACAATCGTCACTCGCTCTTTTCTCTCATCCATGTCGCTTGCCCTGCCCTCGCCTTGGCCCCACCCCCTTGACACACACACGCACGCACACGCGCGCACGCACGCACGCACTCCTCCTTACCCCTTGACTCACGCTATACGCACGTGCGCGGACACGCACGCGCTCGTCCGCGCGCGCGCGCACCTCGTCGTCTTACACGGACGACCGTGCACGGACACGCGCACACTCCTTGTCTCAAACGTGCACACGCTCATCACCCCTTGATTCACACACACACGCACTATTGCACACGCACGCACGCACACACTCATCACCCCTTCACTCACACACGCACGCACACACTCACTCTTGTACACGCACGCACACACTAACCCCTTGACGCACACACGCATGCACACACACACGCACTATTGTACACGCATGCACACTCATCACCCCTTGACTCACTCAAGCATGCACACACACGCACTATTGTACACGCATGCACACACTCATCACCCCTTGACTCACACACGCATGCACACACACACACGCACTATTGTACACGCATGCACACTCATCACCCCTTCACTCACACACGCATGCACACACGCACTCTTGTACACGCACACACACTCATCACCCCTTGACTCACACAAGCATGCACACACACACACGCACTATTGTACACGCATGCACACTCATCACCCCTTGACTCAAACACAAGCATGCACACACACGCACTATTGTACACGCATGCACACACTCATCACCCCTTGACTCACACACGCATGCACACACACGCACTATTGTACACGCATGCACACACTCATCACCCCTTGACTCACACACGCATGCACACACACGCACTATTGTACACGCATGCACACACTCATCACCCCTTGACTCACACACGCATGCACACACACGCACTATTGTACACGCATGCACACACTCATCACCCCTTGACGCACACACGCATGCACACACACGCACTATTGTACACGCATGCACACACTCATCACCCCTTGACTCACACACCCATGCACACACACGCACTATTGTACACGCATGCACACACTCATCACCCCTTGACTCACACACGCATGCACACACGCACTATTGTACACGCATGCACACACTCACCCCTTGACGCACACACGCATGCACACACACACGCACTATTGTATACGCACGCACACGCACTATTGTACACGCACGCACACACTCACCCCTTGACTCACACAAGCATGCACACACACACATGCACACACTCCTCACCCCTTGACGCACACAAGCATGCACACACACGTGGGCGCACACACTCCTAACGCCTTGACGCACACACGCACACACACGTGCGCGCACACACACACACAGTGGACTCGCGCGCTGTATAATCCAGTCCCGTGGGACACTTACCCGGTCTACGTGTACACTAAGAGACTCACAAACACAGTCTGCCGCCGACACACGCAGGCCGCTGTGCTCACGTGCGCGAGCACAAACACATCAAAGGTGGCACGGCCCGACGAGGAGGTTTACACACCGCACCGTGTGTTCATTTAGGGATCAGTCAACCTGTGGGAGAAAACAGGTTCAGAGAGCGTCACTGTTGTAAGGAGTGAACGGGAATCGAACTTTAGTGGGCCGGGTTCGTTGTGTAGTGCGATAACCACTACACTACCCCTTCACGTCCGCACACACACACACACGAATACACACGAACTCTCAATCTCACACACAGACACATCCAAACACGCAAATACGCAAAGGTGCCCATAGAGTGTTGGGACAAATTCTGTCAGCGAACACCAAAAAAGGCCGACACGACCCACGAGGGGGTGGGTGGCCAACACCCACTCCCCGCCGCCTTTGTCTCCCCAGTGCTGATGTTTGCACACCGCACCAGGTACTCGTTTAAGGCTGGCTCGACCTAGGTGAGGCCCAAGACCGGTTCAGAAATTAGCCACCTGACTGTGAGCGGGAATCGAACATTTCCGCACGCTGAAATACACGCGGTACAATGCACAATCACACGCAAGCACACACACACACTTCCACGCACGCGCACACACACACGCACACACGCACGCGCACACACGCCAACACACCGAACACGCACGCACTCACACACACACGCTCGCGCGCACACACCCACGCGCACACACACGCGCGCACACACACGTGCACACACACGTGCATATACACACGCGCGCACATACGCACGCGCACGCACACACGCACTCACACGCACACACACACGCGCATACACTCACACACACACGCGCACACCGGGACTCGCGGCGTCACGCACGTGGGGTGCGCGTGCCGTGTCATTGACCAAGGAACACACACAAACACGCACACACAAACACGCACACAAAGACAAAGATCCCCCGTGCAGCCTCAGCACGCTGTCGGGGCAAGTGCGAAGGCCGGCACGGAACACGAGGGAGGGTGGGGGGTGGGCGGCCAGCGCCACGCCCGACCGCCTTTGTTTCCCCAGTGTCGACGTTTTACACACCGCATCAGGTATACATTTGATGTCCGCCCAGGGAACGGTTCAGATATTCGTCAAGTGTTATTATAATTGGTCGTACACATACGCACACGCACGCAGGGACACACGCCCGTGTACACACACACACGCGCACACAGTGGATTCTCACCCACCACCACCACCACACACGCACACTGCTCGCTCCCTCGTTCCGCCCGGGGCCATGTGCTTGTGTGAGACGTGTGTGTATGTGTGAATGTGTGTGAGACTTGGGTTTTTCTGAGTGTGTGTGTATGTGTGAGTGTGTGTGACACTTGTGTGTATGTGTGAGTGTGTGTGAGACGTGTGTGTGTGTGTGAGACTTGTGTGTATGTGTGAGTGTGTGTGAGACTTGTGTATTTCTGAGTGTGTGTCAGTGTGTGTGAGACTTGTGTGTGTGAGACTTGTGTATTTCTGAGTGTGTGTGTATGTGTGTGTGTGAGACGTGTGTGTGTGATGTGTGTGTATGTGTGAGAGTGTGTGAGACTGTGTGTGTGTGAGACGTGTGTATTTCTGAGTGTGTGTGTGTATGTGTGAGTGTGTGTGAGACGTGTGTGTGTGTGATGTGTGTGTATGTGTGAGAGTGTGTGAGACTTGTGTATTTCTGAGTGTGTGGGTATGTGTGAGTGTGTGTGAGACTGTGTGTGTATGTGGCTGCGTTGGCTGGGTCATGTAGCCCGCATGCCCAGCCACCGCATGCCTAAACAGCTTTTGTTCGGCCGGATCGAGGGGGCTAAACGGGCGCGGCATGGGCTAGAGAAGAGATGGAGTGATGTGGTACAGGAGGACGTGGAGCTGAGTGGACTTGCCGATGACCGGTACCAGCGGTGTCAAGATCGGCCTCTGTGGAGGAGGCTCGTGAAGTACGCTACTACTGGGCAGTTGGAGGCAGTCGCCCTCCAACAACAACGGAGGGACGGAGGAGCGACGCTCACAACAACGAGCGGAGCGCCGGGTGGCTAGAGCACAGCAAGTTGGTACAGTCGGGGGCACAGGTGGTGCATCAGCCAGTCATCTCGGTCATCTCGGTCAGTCGACCCGTGGCACCTGCTGGGTCTGCCCCGTGACCTCCAGCCAGCGGGCGTTCGACACTTCACGTGGCCTCAATGTGCACTTTCCCTGGCACAAGCGTCGTGGTGACGTCACCGCCACTTAGTGGCGAATGGCGGTTGTTGTTGTTGTATGTGTGAGACTTGTGTATTTCTGAGTGTGTATGTGTGTGTGAGACGTGTGTGACATGTGTGTGTGTGAGATGTGTGTGTGTGAGACTTGTGTATTTCTGAGTGTGTGAGATGTGTGTGAGATGTGTGTGAGACGTGTGTGTGAGATGTGTGTGAGACGTGTGTGAGACGTGTGTGTGAGATGTGTGTGAGATGTGTGTGAGATGTGTGTGAGACGTGTGTGTGTGTGAGATGTGTGTGTGAGATGTGTGTGAGACGTGTGTGTGAGATGTGTATGTGTGTGAGATGTGTATGTGTGTGAGATGTGTGTGTGTGAGATGTGTGTGTGAGATGTGTGTGAGACGTGTGTGTGAGATGTGTGTGTGTGAGACTTGTGTGTGTGTGAGACTTGTGTGTGTGTGTGAGGCGTGTATGTGTGTGAGACGTGTGAGAGATGTGTGTGTGTGAGATGTGTGTGTGAGAGATGTGTGTGTGTATATACGGGGATTCCTGCTCACGACCGACATCAGTGACGATTATCTGAACCGTTCCTGGGCTTCCCCTAGGTTGACTCAGCCTCAAATGAGGACCTGGTGCGGTGGGATACAAAGACGGTCGGGCGTGGTGTGTTCTTCCGGCCTTCATTGGTGCTCGCTAACAGCACTTGCCCCAACAGTCTGCTTAGGCTATATGGGGGATCTTTGTATGTTTGTCGACTTAGTCTGTGTGGCTATTCGGGGGATCTTCGTTATTTAATATTTGGGTATCTACGATCATGCGTATATGCTTACGTGTATATGTCTGCATTGCAGAAGTGTAACATTGAATATGTAGGTCATTGTATTAGTTGTGTTTATTATGTATGCCTATATATTACGTATGTTTCTATTATATATATGTGTACGTGTTTATATTAAGATATGTGTAAATATGTATGTGTGTATATACAGTATCCTGTAATTATCACGATGTTTGTACATCTGTGTATGCATCAATGTTTACATGCGTGTATATATAAATATGGGTAGGTGTGCACATGTGACATCATGCATATGCGCACGTATCAATGTGTATATGCGTGTGTCCACGTGAATGTGTGTATGTATCAACATGTGTTTATATGTGCCCAAGTATGTATCATTTGTGTATATGTCTCAACACGTG